TTAGACCGAAACCAACAACATAGCTGTTAGAGAGATAAATGCAGTGTGTGTGTGTGTGTGTGTTTTCCCATGTCAATCCCACAATCTCCCAACAGGAACCATAGTGTCCACTTATCCCATTAAAACAATTGCCAACATTGGCATTCAAACATGTGCATGTGTGCGCACAACCATATGCACAAACAAATGGATGCAGACAAATGTACCAATCTGTGCACACAGGCACACACACACGAACATGAAAAAAAAGAGTAATTTCAGAATAATTCCTTTTGGATAAAAACGGTATAAAAAAGCCTCCAAACCTCCGCAGTGTTGGCTGATCGTAAAGGACTGTCAGTTACTGCAGCCTTTTATTAGGCCAAAGGGAAGCAGCAGGATTCAACTTGGGGCCCAATAAAGAGCTATTCTTTCTGCAAATCAGGCCTCGCACATGGACCTGAATGCACTGTGTCGCTAATCTTCTGAGCTGTGGGAGCCCACTCTATATTCAGACTGTGCCACCACAGCAGGCACAACCTCGCATGTTGATGCTGCCACACTCACCCTCACACAGAGGTGACCACACTGGGTTAACGCTGGGGTCCACAATCTTATCACACCTCAAATTACTGGATTAAGGACTTTATGGCAGCAAAAAGTGTCCATGGAAAGGCAAATGCAGCTCAGTTTGATCAAATAAATTAAGGAGAAAATAGAAGCAAAAGCACAAAAGCTTTCTGTAGGTGAAATATCCTTATAACAAGCTTCAGATTGAAGTAAATAAAGATCATTTGAATAATGACATAAAAATGTATTTTGGCAACACTCACAAGAGATTATCTAAAAGTTTACATAAGAATTAGTCATGAAGGAGTTTCTTGATGTAGGATATAGAGACAAACTACAAACTCATAACATATTTCTGATAAAGTGCTGTCCTCTAGTGGATACTTGCAAGTACAGCTTTTTCCAAAAAAAAAAACATAAAGCATTGTTTAAGGGTTTGACGATCAAACAAATAAATAAAACGCATTACTTTGATGCCGCAGTGAAGCCATGTATTTTGTTCTTATTAGTAAAACAGCAGAACCTGAAAAAAATAAATCAGGATTTTTTTCCTCCATTTTCTCCTGACAGTATTAGTCCTTTGGACTTGAACGCACAGAAAACTATGGAGCAGTTGTATGTTTTGCAAATAGTCACATGAAGCTTCAGGTGTATGTCTGAGTGAATGTAAACAAAGAGATAGCCATTAATTCACTGGACTTCACCCACCATGCACCGTGTTATAAAAGGTCTAGTTTGTTTCCCTACAGGATTATAGTTTTCATCTCTAAACTGGCATCTACACCCTCAGTTAAATCAAATGAAAATTTGGTATGAAGGCTGCTGTCTCGGTCCTTGATTATGCATGACTTTAAACCCTTTCTGCATAATTCTCGTCACTGCAGGTCATTTTCTGACCTCTATACCAGATCGCATTTAAAGGGATACTGTTTAGTTTTGGCTTGATTTTAGCCCATTTGGCCACAGTGGGGGTCTGATTCACATTCCATTAACCCTGTAAGAGTCATTTTAGCACTTACTGGCTCAATAAAATTATATAAAACTTAGAAAAGTTGCATAGTATGCTTTTAACCCTCCCACTGTCTTCATGGGTGACCCTGCCAGGAAAGTTGACCATTGAGCAGGATTGATGGTTTCTCCCTTGAGGTCCATGTGGCAGGGTAGGTGGTTCTCACTCCTCACCCCTGCCATGTGGACCTCAAGGGAGAAACCATCAATCCTGCTTAATGGCCAACTTTCCTGGCAGGGTCACCCATGAAGACAATGTGAGGGTTAATGTGAGGGTCATAGACACTATAGCCTAAAATTGTCATTCATTATAGGATAATGGTGGTTAGACTCTGACATTATTATCTATTCTTCTGATGGTTCAAGTTGACCCAAACGATGTCTACATTGTCCTTCACAGGACAACAGAACCACTGGATATCTGCAGTGTGTCTTTAACTAGGATGTTAACAAACTTCCCTGTCCAACAATATCTCAAATGTTTGATTATTTTTACAGTTAAAAGCAAACTTAAAAAAAGGTCTTTCCAGTGAAGTAGATTTTCCAAAGCCCTGGATATGAAGTTCTCTTCATAGAGTTAAGAGGTTTTTGGACCTGATCACTCTCCCCCTTTATTCACCTTCTACACCTCGGACTTCACCTACAACGCAGGCAGCTGTCACCTCCAGAGATTCTCAGATGACTCGGACATTGTTGGCTGTGTGACTGGTGTGAGCCTAACCCACCTTCCCTTGAACACCAGTAGGACAAAGGAAATGATGACTGACTTCAAGAGAAACACTCCTCCTCACTCACCAGCAAACATCCAGGGTGCAGACATTAAGATGGTGGGTACCTTTAAGCACAACACAGATGCTTTGTATGAAAATGTTTGAATTAAACAGAGAAGAAGGGGAGGAAGATTGACATGGGGCTAAGGAAGCCACAGTGATGCTGTTCCTATTGTAAGAAACCTTTGAAGAATACATATCATAACATTTATTAAGTTATAATTGTTTTATAATCGATACAAAGATGTTAATTAAGTTTTTTTATCTAAATCTGTCTCACATGAAGCAACTTTCAGTTGTTCTATTCGTGACATTTTCAGTACCTTCCTGAATGAAAGGGCTCTGACACTTTAAGAAAACAAGCTGGAGCTGACCACGCCCACATAATCCTTGATTGGCTGCTTTGAGCTGACAAGCTCAAATATTCAGTTCAGGGGCTCAGACAAGGGCCTCTCCCCAGCAACACCTCTTCCATGCGAGAGGTGGTTCAACGCCAATCTCCTCAATTGTGACATCACAGAGACATTTTTAAATGGCTTGTTTTAAGTACATAAATCCTACAAATCAAACAACTAACAGCAAAGGGATGGACTTTTTTCTTAACATTTGGAGTGTTTATAGAGGCAGTAGAGACCCACATGGCAGAACAAAAGGATACAAATATACCGTAAATCCTCTAATAATAGCCTGTATTTAAATAACTGCCGGGTATCATATTTTGGCCGGTGTTGGAGTCGGCAGAGGTGAATAATGGCCGGTTTTTTATTGTGGCCGGATGGAATGTGGTAACAAGTAAGTACGGGGGGCGGTTGTGTCATCCGTCTCACTTTTGATTTGCCAGTGATAGACCGCGAGGGTAACTTTAACCGTGCGGAGACGAAGAGGAGGCGAACATTTGATATCAAGTTCAAAGAGAACGTGCTGATTATGCTGCAGAACACTCTGGGGAGCAGTAGCAGGGGTTGTATGAACTAGTCACTAGTCGACTTCACCGCTCTATAGTGACTTTTTATGCCTGTCATCGACTAGTCGCTGTCACGTGATAATGACCGGCAAGATGCAGTCCACGGAAAAGACAGCAGCCTGCTGTCAGCAGGTGACAAGCTCCTGCGCGTCGGGAGGCAACGCGCTGTGCCAGAGCGTCGGTACTGACACCCGCCGTAAAACGGACATTTAACCAAAATGTGACGTTTACCCTCTTGCAATTTAACCCTCCCCTTACCCCCATCCTAACCTTAACCAGCTTGCGCATTCAAAGCTCTGATTGTTGACGCGCTCCAGACATCTGCGTCCTGAGCACGGCCACAGTAACATTATCAAATCAGGTGTCACCACCTCAAAAACTAATTTAACACGCGATCGTTCATGTCAGTTCATTTCCTTTAATGTTTTCTGTCTTTTATTTGCGCCTGATGCGTTTCGCTGCTGTGGAGCGGGGCGCATCACCTTGTCATCCGGTGATGCACCGATCACTGATGCGGCCGGCAAGCAGCGAGCACTCCGCTGTTTTTGCGGTCGGTAGATCTGCGTCCTGAGCATGGCCACAGTAACATTATCAAATCAGGTGTCGCCACCTCAAAAACTAATTTAACACGCGATCGTTCATGTCGGCTCATTTCCTGTTATGTTTTTTGTCTTTTATTCTTTTATTTGTGCCTGATGCGTTTCACTGCTGCGGATCGGAGCGCATCACCTGTTTTGTCCTCGGCTGTTTTTGCGGTCGGTAGAACTTTTAGAACTGCAGTTCAAAGGTAACTCATGAGGTGAACATATATGAACCCAGGTAGCAGTTTTTCTTTAGGATTGAGAGGAGATGCAGGAAGATAATAAACAGGCAGGACAGAAAAATAGTCAAATAAAAACACGTTAGTTTTTGTACCTGGTGGTTGCAACAAACAGACACCACTGAAGGTAATCAGAAGTGAGGAACAGAAAATGAAATAATTATTTTAATGTTTAGAGCAGCAGGAACTCCGAGAGGCTGCAGGCGCATCAGTGAGTTTGCGGCCGCTGCGCAGGGGGAGGGGGGAGATGGCTGAAGCAGAAACTACCGTTGTTAAAAGAAATGTGTTTAACTTTGAAAATGTGGGCGCAATTTTAATTGTCAAAAACTCCAGCGAACCATTAGTTCATTTTGCTCAAATAGAAATTAAGGCCTGCCTCTAATTCTGGTCCTCCTTCCAATAAAGGCCTGGAGCTTGATGAGCTTGAGTCAAATACAGGCCCGGGCCTGTATTAGAAGATTTACGGTATCCCCTTTAAGGAAAAAGAGCAAAGAGTAAATTAAGGAGAACAAAACCAGAACAGGACATGTAACACGGGGCTAAGACACACCATGCTGGGCCATGCTGCTCTGGTAGATTTATTTTGTAATTTTCTTTTCGTTAATTATGATTATCACTAGTGCTCCTAGTCAGGAATGTTGTAAATGGGACAGTCAAGCAGCATAAGTCACAGTTAATCATCATCATCGTCACCAATGTTTTATAATCCTCATCACCGTTACCATATAATAATCATTTTTAGCATCATCTGACTTTTTCCACAAGCTAAAAAAAATATACATCACATTGTTTTTACTGACCGTTGAAATTACAAACATTCCAGCAACACACTCTAGAATAAAGATGGTTAACAATCAGAAAAAAGCAAGACTTTTTGCATAGTCATAAATGAACAAAGACATTGAGTTCTTTATTTACAATTATTGTATAGATGAAAAAAATAGATCATAAAATAAAGATGAACACCCAATTCACTTACCCATAGATGGCTAAATATGCCAGAAAAGCTATCTGTTAGCATTTCTCTTTTTTTTTGTTCCACAAACGACATGCTGCTAAATACAGTCCATCGAGGCAGGTGAGAGTATATTGCAAAAAAGCTTCATTGATATCATCTTCCCCTGCCGTCATCATTAACATAAAGACTGATTGGTACAATGAGTTTCATGATTTGGATGGAATCTTGATGTTTTTGACAGAAGCGCAGACATGTCTTCAGGTTGACTGTGGTGCATGAAGTCGTTAAAGAGGAGTTAAAATTTTCACCGCGGTCCAGGTGGGAAAGATTCCGTCCTCAGTGGACACCTTTATTTTGTTTACAGAAATTATCACTGCATCTTCTTAAAGCTGAATATCCTCTGCAATGTGAAAGTGGTTTGAGAATGTAGGTGTTATTTATTTTTATACTGAAATAAACTATAGTCTTCATTTTTTATTTCAGGATTTTTTCTTTTAAATCTTTACAGACAAATAAAACAAACTGTCAGGTTTTTTAATCAAATAAACAAATTGTCACATTGGAAAGAACAAAATAAATCAATTAACAGCTTCTGAAGTAAATATCAGAATCCAATGCGATTTGTTCTCCAACTTAAATAAGACAGGTTTTATTCGGATGGTTACGTTTTTGACATGCCTGAGCTGACTTGTAAAGCTTGTGGACAGATCAACTGTGCAATGGCAGAAGAGGAGTGTAAAAAAGGACAAAGAAAGAAAGAAGAAGGTAGAACTGCTTGTATAAATGATTGCTTATTCTGTCTACAGGATAGTTTTTTTTTTTCAAATTGCATAATGAGCCTACTTCATCACATCATGCTCGCCACTGACTTCAGTTAGTTATAGTAACAATCGTAGAGGCTAGTTTAGTGGCCTTGCCCTCTGAGTGCAATAAGATGTGTAAATGTGCCTTCCGCATGTAAATTCTCTCTGGTAATGTCTGGCTGCTCAAAGTACAATAAATAGATTACAACTAGTGAGTACAGCGGAGATGCTAGAGTACTGTAGATTCTGTTTACGGCAGGAAGACAAGCTTGGTTAAAACACACAAAAGCACATCTAGAGTTACACCACAGAAGTTTTCATTCATAACCAGATAGTGCAGAAAATCTCCTTTTGTATGTATACATATAGAAAAGAGTCAAAGCAACATTCCATTGTAGTAATTTGTTTAGGGTTTTCTTTCTTTTTTTTTTCTTTTTTTTGTCTTTTGGTGTTTTTTTCTCCCCATATGTTTGAAAAATGCCAACAGCTTAGTGGGGCTGTGTGTGTTTAGATGGAAACAAATGTCTTTAAATCAAAATAAATAGAAAAAACAAAGATATATTGCAAGTTTTGAACAAAGATGTCTGCTTCTCTTGTGATACAAGTAAGCCAAATCGAACTTGGATTTCTAACAAAGCTCAACTGCAGCTTTCGAAAGGTCACAGATATCTTTAAAACATCAAGTCCTTAGAACAAGCAGGTTTACCTAAATGACAGACCTGATAAAAACCTTTTACTCAAACACTGACCCCAGGTCAGAGCTGAAGCACAGCAAAAACAAAACTGCTTTAAAAGAAGATAGAGAAGTGAGCAAAGAAGCAAATACCCTCCTCTTTGACAAAAAGGAGGCCTCAAGTAAGAAAAAACAAAGGCGAGTCGCTCCTGTCTGATCCCAACAATCGTTCAGAGTAATAATGAGATTCCAAGGTGAACTCAGAATTCTAAGATACTAAGACTGCTGTTAACCCTCTAAAAATATCTACATTGTTTGACAATATAGCAGGCAATTTCCAACACATAGTCGCTGTAATAATACATCAACACAAATCTGAGCTCCAACTTCACCCCCATTCCATTAGAAACCAGGAAGTGTATCTCTACGAGGTTGTAAACAATTACATTCTGTTTAAGACATAAATAAGTCAAAGTAATTGGAGTCATTGAAGCAGAAACAAGGCAACATGCCAACAAAGATAGACTCTCTCTAAATATACTTTTATGAATTTATATGTATATAATATATCCCATAAATGCTATCATCTTTTTTTTAAGTATGCGTTCTTCCTTCTCAACAGGTGCAAATCCACTGTGCAAGTTTGGCCCTACCACCCCCACATACGTTTTTGTTTATGGATGATAGAAATTGTTTTTTCTTAGAGTCCAGTATGTTCATGCCACACAGAAAGGGAACTTTGCAGGCCGGGGAACTCAGAGAAGCTGTTGGTTTTTTTTTTCTAGTAGTCCGCAGTGAGACCCAGCAAGTCAGCACAAAATTACTTCCAAGAAAATAAAACTTTCTTTTAAAATAAACTTGGGTTAATGTACATTCATGCAGGAGCAATAAGAATAGTAGCAATAATAATGAGAATCAGAGTTAGAATAATAACAACAGTTTTCAATTTAAATGAAACTATTACTGTATTTGTATTAACAATGTTATTACTGAAGAGGAGTTTAGGGAGAGCATAGAGTCTGTTTTGTGGTTGACCCTCCTCATTGTCCTCCCTCCTGGTGCCACAGAAGACACAGTTCATACAAAGGTGCAGCCAACCGCACCTTTATACAGTACATGCTAACCAGTACAAGCATTCAAGTCTTACACACCACCAAGGCTGCCACCATAAACATGCAACCACAAAAGCAGGATGGCTGTGTAGGTTCTGTGGCTTAATTGAGCTGTATGGATTGTATGTTAGGTTTTTGTTTTGTTGTTATTTGTTTAAACTTGCCATTTCAATGGGAATTGCTTCATTTTTTTTCACAGAGGAGTAGACAAGCTTAAGGTTACAGGAGGGAGATGAATGTTATTTCCAAAGGAGCAAACCTTCCTCAAGAGATGAATGGTGCTTTGGAGGTGGGTGGGGGTGAGGAGTAAACGTTAACAGTTACAAGTCTAGGCAAGCAGGAGAAGGAGGCCTTGGGCCGCAGGGGAATTACTTAAAAGGTTGGAGCTTAGTTTTGGATCTGGGTTAGAGGCTGGTCTCCAAGCTGTGCAGAGGACTGGCGGGGCTAGAGGAAGCAGCAGATTTACTCGTGTCGATGGTGAGGTTGATACCACTGTCAATGGCGTTGTTGTTCTTGTTGGGAGACGAAGGCTGACTGGAGTATATCCCCCTCCTCCGTGCGGAGTCGTCGTCCGTGTCATCAATGAGGGGAATACTAGGTGTGGAGTCGTCTATCCTAAACTCTGGGTGTGTCATGAAGTTGTGTATGGATGATCTGGAGTCAGGTTTTTCCAGGCCTTCATAAAGGGAGCTACGGAATGCGTTCACAACTCGGATCTGTTGTGAAACAAAATACAAAAAGAAGAAGAAAGAGTGTGTTACAGGTGATGTCAGATGTGATGCAAACTGGTTTCAGGGAACCTTGGAATGAGAGGAAAAGTGGGAAATTGAAAAGAGAAAGGACAAAGAAGATGCAAATAATCCTCTAGTTTGAAGATATAAAGGTGGAGGAGAAGAGAAAAGTGAAGAAACAAGAGAAGGCAACTTCTGTGTTCTGCTTGCACAAGATGGCTACAGGTTACAAGTCACTCAATTTTAGCTTGCACTAAGGAAAACTGTGAGGAACGTAATCATAAATAACACAAGAAAATCAGACATTTTAGAAGAACCAAAGCAACACAAATGCTCGTTGTAAGTATACGCTTTAGTCCAATGTGCTGTATACCTAGAAACAAGCCACATTAATAAATTAAATGCTTTCAGAAAAAATTAAAGAACAACATTGCATGCAGTGTTGAAGAAATCTGGTGGACGAGGTCAGTAAGAAAGGAAGAAGGTTAGATCTGAAAGATCCAATGAGGTGGTTTAAAAAACTTCTGGAAGCACCAGAGCACTGTCTGGGACTAGATCCACACAGAATCTGAATGAAACACAAACACACACACACACACACACGCACACACACACGTGGCATAAGGTGGAATAAGCATGGTCCCAAAGAGAGTGAGTCAAGTCTGCATGAAGTTGGCTCAACACAAGCATTGCAGCGTAAATAAAACGGTTCCTTCAAATAAATATAAACAAAAAAATTGGCAGAACAGAAAAAATTAAAGAAGTCACTTAGACAACAAGCAAACACAGCAGGTAAAATAAAATGAACACACAAGAAGTAGAAAAAAACTACATGCAGTGACAAACGACACTGGCACAAAAACTAACACAAAACAAAAGGAGGTGAATAGTTCTATTTAATTTAACTGTCAGAGGTCTGACAGTTAGACTTTTTCAACTCCATGCATGTCTGAGTAAACACTCAAGTATAAGTTCAAATTAGAAAGCTTTAATAAATCTACACTTATTATTGCACACTTTACCATCTAAAGTATATCATCATAAGGATCCTGGGAACCTCAGCCCACAGGGGATAAGGCCCAAACCCACCACTTAATATTAGGGATCTCCAGGTTTTATAATTGTTCTTTACTAAATGTTTTATACAGAGCTCTGTCAAGGTATAGAACAGAATTCTGTTATGAAAACTGCTGCCTCCTCTGAGCTAAAGATAAGAGATGTCTAAATTGTGTAATTGCGCGGAGCTTCTGGAGTGCGCGGAACCGCAATCTGGCTCCATCACCATGGGGCAATGGTGGTGAAGCCGGAGGGCTATGCAGGGTCGCATGAGGCGAGTTCCCAGGAGATGGAGTCTCTGGGGCGTGGGGGAGCTGGAGTGCACCTGGAAAACTAAACGATCTATGCATTTTACATAGTACAACTTCTGTGTATAATCTGCATTCAAGTGTAGCTTAAAAATGTGCTTCCACTCTTTGATCACTGAAAGTTCATGTAATATATTTTCTGTTTTTTTAGGGTGCCAAAAGACTTTACCATAGACCTACGCTTTAACTGGCACATGCACGCTGAATACCCCTCTAATACAAAGGAAACCCTTTGGGCGCAGGATTTGCAACTGAAGCATGTGCAGAAGACCTGAGTCTCCAGGTCTCCACTCAGATCAGAACGTCCAACTAGATGCTCTCCACAGTCTACCTCTGGCTGTGCTAACACCAATGCTTTGTTGGGTTTCTCCTGCCTCCTCTGCCTCCCAGCTCAAGCCTGTATTCAGACAAGTATTACAGATTTAAACTGTAATTGAAAACACATAGTACTTTTGATTTGATTGAATTTTTTTAAGCTGTGTGATGAATAGGAATGGTACTTTGGCGTACCCTAGTGGTGATTTGTAGTTAGACAACTGTGCCCCACCCAAAAATTACTTCACCAGCTGTCACTGCTTGCAAGTGTAATAATAAAACATCTGCATACAGACACATTTTATGTCCCAAATTTGTGCCTTGAATTTCTTTAATGGTTATATTTTGTCTTATTGCTGCTGCAAGAAGTTCAATGAAGATGGCGAACAGTGTTGGTGAGAGTTGACATGCTTGTCTGGTTCCTCTGTGAAGTCTGAAACTGGATGATGTCCTTCTATTGGTTGTTATCGTGGCCCTGGGTGATGTGTACAGTGTTCTAATCCAGTGTATGAATGATTCTCCAAAGCCAAATTTATGCAGTGTATTGAATAAACCGACCAGTTTAAAACAGCCGATCGTATTTATAAAAAGAACAAGTACTAGTTTACTCAGTAAAATTCATCTTTAAAACAAAAGACAGGTGAGTTTAGCCTTCAGAAGAGTCATGGTTGATCATTATTTGTTGTGTGGATCACAAATTCAGAACCTCTCGCCACAAAAACGGTTTCTTCTTCTCTGCGGACGGACTCATGAATGTCAATCATAGACCTGCCCACTTCAGTTGCTTTGGTTCAGTCACCTGACCCTGTGCTATGTTTGCACCTGCACTGATCCACTCTGACCAGTACCTACACTGCCTTGTATAAAGTAGCCGTTTCTCTAATTGTTGCCTCCCTATATTATTATCATTTCATTGTGTTTATATCCTAATTCCAATCTTTGCTCATCATTTATTTTCTTGCATCAAGTACTGCAGCAATTTCTTAATGGTGTGATGCTTGCACGTATGGCAATAACCCCTTGTGATTCTGAAATTGACATTTTTGTAGATTGAAATCATATTGGAAGAACAATTTAACTGCACAGCCCTAAAACAGGAGCCCTTAAAAGGAAGTCAAGGAAGCTCCACTAAAACCCTCAAAAATGTGTATTTACCCTGAAACAGCACCTTACTGTGGGTTATTTTAAGGCCTTTTTCATAAAAACATTCAATTCTGGACTGATGTGACTATATTGGCACCTTGAGGAGCAATGTGGATCAAAGGTAAAAGCCAGCAAGTTAAACAGTAGATAAAACTAATTTTGTGTCAAGTCACTGTTGTTTATTACATCAGGAACACATAAAACAACATTATTACATATACTTGAATGTTCACCCGGTCTCTTTGTGAGTTTACTGGAATTAGTTCACATTAACGTCTGTCGAGACATAGACATGAGAGGAATGACAGATGGGATGATGATGAGCAGAGGGAGACAAACTCACAACCTGAAATGCCACGTCGGGGGTTTCACTCTTAGTCCTGTGCTCCTAGCACTCTGGGGAAACAAACACACATTGACCAATGAGAGGACAGTACAGCCAACCATGGGAGGAGATATCAAGATGAACTGCACATCAAAAAGACAGTAGAAAAAAGAAAATGGAAAAATATAATCTGCATGAAAGGAAAACAAAGACAAAGCTTCAGAGCTGCCAACATTAGAGCAAAAAAACTTTTGTTTCAGAATTGTTTGAAAAAAAATTGTTCAAGAGTGGAAGCAAAGACAGCAAACAAGCACACAGACAGGATTCTGACTCACGGCCAGTAGAGGGAGGAGCAGTAGCGCTTGTAGGAGAGGAAATGGCATTGGACAAGGACACGTGACTAGGACTAGAAACATTGGTTACATCCTGCGTCTGGCTGGTGGTGGATGACTGGCGTCTCAGAGCTCCTGCCCCCTGAAAGGAGGTGCCACTCTTGAAGGTGTTGACTACTTCAATCTGTGGGAGGAGAGCGAGACAGGAGAGGACAAATGGCAGCTCAGAGTGACACAAACCAAATGACAACACAGGTTGACTGGCTGGGTAAAGGGAGTACAGTGTTGCAGTCATGACACATGGGGGGTGATGGAAACTAGGATGTGTACTGTCAACAACAACAAAATGGTTCACACAAAGAAAGCACATCTAGCCATTAACTTGGTCTATGTTTATTTTTACCCTAAATTGTTATTGCTCTGAGCCAGATTTCACATCAAGGGAAAATCAACCAATCAATCGATCAATCAAAAACAACCTGGCAAATTGTATCTGAACTGTTAACGACTGAGGTAGTTGCTTAAATCCTTTAGGGGGCATACACTAATTATTTCACAAGGATAATGAGGAGAATGACATAAAGTAATGCGTTTGCTGCGGTGCCTAGGATAAATGAATGTCCGGTGAGCAGCGACGTGCGGCGAGGTTCATGACTGGGGAGGCACTGACTGCTCTGACGTTGGACTTACAAATGTGATCTGAAAATAGAAGCTAGTATTTTCATTTTGACCTTGAATGGAATATTTAGTTGTTTTAAAACTTAGTTGTGATTTAATCAATTTCATAATATTCAACAAAGCACTGGCAAAAGCAAAATAATATTTAATATTGGGGCAAATTTGACTAAATTTTTAAAGCCCGAGTGTCCCCTAATTGGGGGACAAACAAGTGTAGCAGCAAAAGGCCTAGGGCCCAATGTGTATTCATTTTTCTTGGCAGAGCTCACTTTTATTACACTTGAAAATTGTGTATGATCTTACCTTTATGTCTTAATGAAGTCCATACAGCTGACATCTCCATGATCACTCTGCTGTAAAAAGTATCCTCTAATGTCTCCTGTTCTGACTGAAAATCCAGTTTAAACAAATCCTTTAGTTTTGAGCCGTAATCTTCTATTTAGTCTAATCAAATTTAAAGTAGTTCATGTTACAGACCTGTTGGCGCCACACCCCTGCCATGTGCACCTGAATAAAGAGGCTCAGCACTGACCCTATCAGTGAGGCAGGGTACTGCACTCCCCTCGTGCATTTTCACAGCGTGTTTATGGCCACTCAGAAAACTAAATATGTCACACACAGTCATCAAATATATTAGACAGACTGTAGGATATCATCATGTGCAGTACACGTGAAAATAAAGCATGTATGTTGGCGATACAAAGACAGATAGCAGTTTACATGTGCCAACTTCGTCTTTCACCCAGCGGTGCTGGGCCATAAGAAAGGAGGAAGCTCTAATCTCTCCCTTCAGTCTGATGGTGCAGCGCCATGCACACTTGATACAGGGAGTTGGCACATGCACTCTGCCTGCATCAGTTAGTGGTGTGGGACAGCTGAGTGAAAACTGTGGCAGCACTTTTCTCCACCTCCCCTTGGGCCTCTGCCAAGTATTTGTTCAGGAAAATCATAAATCCAGCGATTTCAACCATAAAATAAAATCATGCAGATAACTAATGTATAGACCGGTCTGTGGGAACCCCAGGCTCCCAGACCCGAAGCCAACCAGGAAGTGACAAACATTGCAGGAGTTGGCATCAGAAAGGAGCAATTTCTCGTTGACTCCCATGTTAAAAATGCCAAATTCCCAGCTGAAATAAACAAGTTTACAGCCTGGTTGAAAAAATAATTTTAGGTTTAATGGGTCTAGTTTACAGTCATGAAAACTCTGAAGTGGGCGAATTTATTTGTAACTTCCATTTATGTTAAATTATATGCTTGAAATTGTGAATAATTAAATTTGATTGACGGGTAGCATAAGCCGCCAGAGGTAGCAATAGCAGCTAGCTCCGGGGAAGGCCGTAGCCTCGGCTCTTGCATTAATAGTGATCAGCAATTTCAATTCTCTGAACTTTATAGTTGTGTCCTCTGTGTGTTCGTATGTTTATCATGGAATTATTGAACAAAGAGAGCAAGCTTGGTGAGCTGATGGGGGCTTCACGTTAGTCGCTCAACTGCGTTTTCTCTGGCTCAAAGCATCTGCAAACTTCCATTAGCTCTGGTTAGCTTGGTGCTGGGAAAAATGGCCAAGTCAGATCCTCATAGTTCCGCTCTCAGCTCCACCTCTTTGCCAAATTTTGCATCGTTTGGGCGTGACGAGACATGCAACATGGCCAGGATGGCTGTGATCAGATCTGTCCATTTGGCTTCAAATAAGTATTTCAGAAATCAATTTGCTATGTCACAGATGGTTTTGGACCTATTGATTTTATATTATATCATTATTAGTAATTTACTTGTCATGGCGACAGGGGAGGCAGTCTCCCCTTTCCTCATATGCCCGCTCGTCACTGCTTCTGAGTCATTCTCAATAAAAGGAGCAGAAAAAAGCAGGATTTGAAGTTTTACTCATTATTCGTGATATTTGAATATCTCACCTCTGATTGACTAACAGCAATGCAACTATTTCACTGTCTCTGTCCGCTCTGTAACACTGACGTTTTATCTCCACAAACAACACAAGCCTGAAGGAGTTCTGCCCTGTTGTGGAGTTCCTGTTAACGGTTAGCTTCTCCTAGCTGAGATGTGCTCTACTCTCTGCTGGACATCAACAGCAGCCTTATGCAAGCCAAGATAGGTGAGCCCACAAATGCAAACATTCTCATGTGCTGTAGAAGACACAGGCTTTTCCTGACCTGAACATGTCCTCATCCACATTCTTTTGGCGGCTAATGGAGGTGACGGGTTGAAAACTATTTTCAAGTGAACTCAGAATGATGGATCATATTTCAAAAATAATTTTTATCATGCATTTCCCAATGAACCTCAAAAGCCTAAACCATGTAACATTGCAGCTGCCGAGATGCATCCTTTTACATCTTCTACTGCAAAATTTAAATAAGGAATTGATAAAACTGAAGGAATGTGCGTACTGTTTCTTGTTGTAACAAATGATATGCAGGAGATTTTCCTTGCAACCCAACGCTTGTCTTGTTGTATAAATGCACCATGCCACAGAGTACAGTTTCATCCAAACAGTAGAAAACACATCATTAAGACAAAACCAAACATAAAGGTGACAGATCCCTAAAATCACAGTGGCAGCGGTCTCTGGAGTTGATCGCAGTAACCACGGTTCAGCTTATATTTAAAGCTGAAGAGGGACTCCAGCAGTCAGCAGTGGTGATCACCCTCGTCCACCAAGGAAATCTGCATCTTCATGTTCCTAAATGAGTCATCTTAAAGTAAATAGACTTTAGGACTTTACTGAGGTGAACATCCATTCTCATAGTTGAGCACTTGTTAGAGTTAAGCCTTTACATTATTAGCATAGGTAGGCTAATATTCAGAAAAAGTAAACAAAAACATAAAAACGATCATTATTGGAAGAGTGGAAAAATCAATCACAAGTTAAAGTTGACCCTTTTTGTAAAAAATTGTACATGATTGAATCAACGATCCCCACCACAACAGTTTATGAGAGTGAAATCTCACCTGAGTTTGAATGCGGTTTAGACCTCTGAACCACAGGATTTGTCCTCTCCTCAGCTCCCTTTCAGCGTGGTCAATCTCTTGATTCTCTTCACTCACGTCCTCCTCGGGTAACTCGTCCTTCTGAGTTAACTGACCTGCTCGACGCAGGAACCGCAACTTGCTGTTCGGTATGGAGGCTATCACCTGACAAAAAATAAAGCATTTCTGATTCCAAAGGGAAACTGAAAAACTTGTAGCAATATTGCAAAGATGGGATTAAAAGAAAAAATAAATCAAGAGAAAAGTAAACGATGACAGAGAGAGAAACCTGGATGTTACCTGTCCCCAGACAAGCTCTCCCAGTCCGATAAAAACACACCACATCCACTGTTCCAAACTCAGAGGGTGGCAGCTGAATGGCTTCCCTCCAAACTGCACGATTATAACCTATACAGCGTATATAAAGAATTTAAGCATGTACGTAATGATTAATGAAAGCAGTTTCATGTAATACAGATTAAATGTTGTGTGGCTGTTTACCTGCACAACAAATGTACCCAAAACAATGGAGCAGAAGATGGGGTTCCCGAAGATACCATCAAACACATTCCTTTCTCCGTGTATCTTGCGGGCGTTTATTTCATTAAACAGCTGCATCATGACAAAGGTGTTGAAGATGATGGTGTAGTGCTCAGATGGAGGAGCATGGAGGGGAGCATTACGGCCACTATCAATGTCAAACATCTGCTCACCTACAGTATAGAGGTTGAGGAACACATTGTGATGTTGTTTATTTATAGCTGGTGCTGTGTCACATCATAAGCAGCAGCAAAATAGCTGTGCATACCAACAAAAAGGAGCGTGAAGATGAGGACGAGCTGATAGACTGCGTGTCCTAAGATGTTCTTGGTCATAGTGCTGGAGATCAGAGGCTTGTTACGACCGTATGGCTTCCTTCTCAGCAAAGACTCTGTGGGGGGCTCTGTCGCCAGGGCCAGAGATGCAAACGTATCCATGATGAGATTTACCCACAACATCTGCACCGCTTTGAGAGGCGAGTCCTGAGGAAATAAAACAAAAACTCTAAGTAAAGTGAACATCATGTAGGGCCAAAGTGTTGCATTTACTTTAGGTTTGTTTTGCTTTGCTCTGACAAAGTTCATAAATGAAGACTGCCACTGGCTTTGTGTCAAAGGATTATTAAAATAATGAAATTACACTCACAGCTACACACACATGCACGTTTCAAGGCATCTCACCTGTGTGATGCAGGCACCAGTGAACGCTACTATAACAGCCACAACATTGACAGTGAGCTGGAACTGAAGAAACTTGGAAATACTGTCGTAAACATTTCGGCCCCACATGACTGCTTTCACAATACTGCTGAAGTTATCGTCAGTGAGGATGATATCCGAGGCCTCCTTGGCCACATCCGTACCGGCTATACCCTGGAAAAGAAATGCCAGAAGCTACAGTAGGAAGGGAAATGCTTTTGCTTTTCTTACAAATTCCAAATGTCTGCTTTAATTGGGTTTTAGTTCATTCTTGTAAAAATGCAGTAAGTACAATTAGGGCTTAAATAACTTTATATAAAACACGTGGATTTAAATAACTGCAAAACACTCAAGCATTTCTCAACATATTTAATTCAGAAAAGTTTCCATTTTTGCCATCAAGTTAGGATATAAAAATAGATTAACTCTAAAGCCACAAAACAGATTTCCATTTAACATGAACAAGATGTTGAGATACTTATCAATAAAAATAATCATATTTATAGAATAACTGCTTCCTTCCTTTCTGCTGTTTTATTTTTGGAGACACAGATGACAGAACCCAGCTCATTACACCAGCTGAAGTTTTTACAACTATCAGGCTCTTAGTGAATGTGTTGTTTTATAAAAATAAAAAAAACATGTTTAATTTTGATTGATCAACATTTCGTGCCTTTGGGCTCAAGCAGAGTACAGAAAATAATATTTTTGTGTATTTAATTTTTTGTTCGAAAACCAAATGTAGGGCTAAAAGTAGAAGGGAACGACTGAATCATCTGGTTTGATTAATTTGCCAATCACTCAATTCCTGAACCATTTTCTGCTCATTAGCTGGTGCCTATAACTAGCAATCAATGGGCAAGAGGCGAGGGACATCATGGACAGGTTGCCAGTCCAACACGGACACAGATGCACAAAGAATATGTGCTGCACTCCCTCACACCTGGGGAAAATGTACACTTTTCAATAAACCTGAAAACTTGTTTTTGGTCTGTGGGAGGCCAGAGGACATAGAGAAAACTTGTGCATGCATGGGGAGGACATGCTAACTCCACACAGTAGCTGAGTTTTTAACCTGTGACCTTCTTGAGGGAAGGTATTTGTACTTTATCATGCATCCTAATGTTTCTCTAAAAGATCCATAAACAAAAAAATATATGTTTTAAAAATCTGATTATTAGAAGACAATGTGCAACAAAAAATTGAGTGAATTAAATACAGAAGTCTAGGAATCTTGTACATGTCTTCATTCCTTTTCTCTTCCTATTTCAACACATAGAAGACAGTGGACATCACACACACACACGTACGCACACACACACACACACACACACACACGTACGCACACACACACACACACACAAACACACACGGGCACGCACACACGCACACGCACACGCACACACACACACACACACACACACACACACACACACACACACACACAAACACACACGAGCACGCACACACACGCACGCACGCACACACACACACACACACACACACACACACACACACACACACACACACAATGGGAAGAAAAGAGTGGGGGTTTAAAGGGGTCTCAAAGAGATTTGAAAAAGTTCAAAAATGGTTGTCATTTCTTGTGACATCTATCTGCGCAGCTGTGTCTGAAGTATCTAATTTTCTCAATTTTCAGAAATGACATTACTTCATTGATACAATGTGTGGTAGAGGGGGGACAGGCAGATGTCTAACTATTAGAGGTGAAGGCTAGAATCTCCAGTTGGTCGTCAGAATAGCGGGTATAATCATCAGGAAGACCAAAGATTGACACATGTAGGGAGATATGAATAGCTTTGAGAGTATATTTGATATTGCATCAACATAGGTTTGCCAAAGGCTTGTAAGAGATGGACACGAAAAGAACATATGTGTGAGATGGCAAGGTGAGCCATTGCACCTTTTGCAATTATCTGTCGATCATGGGAATACCTTTGATAATTTAGATTCAGAATGACACCAAACTAGAGCTTTAAACTGAATGAGTCAGGTGGGCGCAGATGGAGGTCTTGTGAATAGTATTCAGAGCACGATCCCACCAATAATTATCTTACGCTCGCAGGCCTCCTTTGTACTTATGGTGTACAGGAGATCATACCAGAGAATGGTATCATACATCTTCAAAATATTTTCCAGTTTCAATGGGTCTAGACTCGTTTTTCAGACTAGTCTGAAAAACATAAATAAGTTCTTGTTGACAAGCTGTGTGAATAAGTCAAGCCACTAGAGGGAGCTGTCAATCTGCACAGACAGAGGCATGATGCCTGAGAAGTAAATCTAAATGCTGCAAAGGTGAAAAAGACATCTAGTAAGATGTTCACTGGTGATGTTTTTTATGGATGATTTTGATTCAAGATGTGCTTACCATGGCAAACCCAACATCTGCTTTTTTCAGAGCAGGTCCATCATTGGTTCCGTCCCCTGTCACAGCCACAACCTGTCTCTGATCCACCATAGTGCTGTCAATAATGCCTGAAGAAATCACACAGATATAAGGGCACATTTATTCACTTCATATGACATACAAATAATAATAATGATGATTTAAAGTCTTTAAAGGAAATAATTGTAAATTTTAATTAATGGATAAATCTGAAACGATTCACCTTTGACAAGAGTGTGTTTGTCAGTTGGCGATGATCTGGCGAGTACTCTGAGTTTGGGCCAGACCTTGTCAATACGCTCTTGTTCCACCTGGACACAAATAGAGACAGTTGCAAGTAGAGGGTTAACTGGATGCAGTTGTGAGATTTTATGACTCAGCTTTTCCTAGACCTCAACAAGAATTCCTATACCTCTCCTTTCTCATTGCGGATCCTTCTGTTGAACTCTTTCCCATCTATGCAGAGAAAGTCCTCTCCTGGATGGATGATCCCACACTTGATGGCTATGGCCCTGGCCGTGTTGATGTTATCCCCTGTTACCATGCGTACAGTGATGCCTGCACGCTGACACTTCTGAATGGCGTCGGGCACCTAAATTTGTTGATGAAAAAACCAACAGATTTAATTTTATGGACTTGACTTGCAGAACCAGGTACTTTTTTTCTGTTTCCATATTGCCCATAACTAGATAAGTAAGAAAAATTATTTGTAACCAGCCCAGTCGTTCTCCTGATCCAGCAGTACTTAATTAGTTTTAGCTTAGCATAAAACAATGTAAGTGAATGGTACCAATTAGCCTTGATTCCCTTGTGTTACCTATTATTTTCACTTGCAGTCAGTATGATTATTTATGTCACCAATACGAATTTGAATCACTATTAAGTCATTTTAATTACTTTTTCACACTCAAGGCTAGTTGGTACCATTCATGCAAAACTTCTCCTGCCTGTTTTCCCAGAGCTTCTAGATGACGCTATAGCCTCTTGGGTAAAACAACCTTTCAGAAGCGGGTCTCCTGTATAAGGAGCCTCCTCACTGGACTGTGAGGGAATGGGAAAAGCCGGAATGTTGCAGATGCCACCGATGGAACCCCTGGTGGCAGCCCTCCTGTACCCACAGCTCTCGGAAACATCCTTCAGACCTTCCACTCTCTCTTCAAAGGCAGACCACTTCCAGTCAGGGCTAAATGAGAGGGCGTACAAGGCTGCTGCCCTCTCAGTTTGAGATTTAAATGTCTCTTCCATGCTCTCTGCAAATCAAGCCAAGCTCTGCGAGGACATGAACATGAAACTGGACCTGGACATGTGGGAGAAAATCACTGTGTTGACTGACATCTGCCTGCACGTCCAGCGCTACGCAGTCCAGGCCATGAGGATGATGATGCTTCAGGAACGTACTCGATGACTGATCCTCACTAACCTCTCTGATAGAGAAAACATGCCAAATTTTACCTGAGGGTAATTTCGGCTCTGCATTGGCGTTGATGCAACTACAGTGTGGGGCGAAGAAAAAAAGAGGACAAAGCCCTCCAACTCGGCCTTTCCAGAAAGCCTGCTCCTGCAGCTCACCCGCCTTTTCCACAGGCGGCTGCCTGGGCTCGGCCTCAGTTCCGGATTAAATGGTTTGCTGTCGCATCCCGACAAAAAGTCAAGGGTACATCAAAAATCAATAAAAAGAACACAAATGAGCAAGACAGGGCTAGGTCACCCCTGGCGGCCTTTCCGACTAGTCATGGGGTGTTCCCATAAACAGAGGCTGTCACAACACTAAGTCTGAACAAATGCGCAGTAACTGCCACTTGCACTACCCCATCACTGCCACTAGAGGGTGCTGCTGCTCTATGTGTGGCAACTGTCAGGGCTGTGTCACCACTTTTTTTCCCGAGAGGATACAGGCTTCAATTCGTCTCAGTTCCTCCTTGATTATTTAATTTCTTGAGGGAAGCATGCAGGCTTCTGCCTTTCTCTCGACCTCTGATGCCTTCTTGGGATCTGTCCTTGGTGCTGAAAGCCCTCTCCAGGGCCCCATTTGAACCAATGGATGGCCCGGACCTTAAAACTCTGCCTATTAAAGTGGTGTTGCTCTTGGCTTTGGTGTCCGCAAAGCGGGTCAGTGACTTACAGGCTCTCTCTGTGCACCCATCCTGCACCCAGTTTGCACCAGGTGACATGAGGGTGTCTCTGAAACCCAACCCTGGCTTCGTGCCTAAAGGTGGTGGGCTCTTTTTCTCCCATTCTCCTGACAGCTTTCTACCCACCGACTTTTTCCTCACTCGAGGAGGAGCGGTTGCACAAGCTAAGCCTGGTACATGCCCTCAGGGAGTATGGTAATTGAACCAAGAGCTTTTGCAGAAGCGACTAGCTCTTTGTGTCATGGGGAGGAAAACCCATAACAAAACAGCGGGTTTCCCACTGAATTGTGGAGGTTATTGCTCTGGCTTATTCCTGTCAGGACATTCAGGTGCCTAAAGAGCTCAGGACCCATTCTGCTAGGTAACTGCTTGCATCTTGGGCCCTTCCTCAGGGGCTGTGTGTCCAGGAGATTTGTGCTGCAGACAGTTGGGCTTCTCCACTTGCATTTGTGTATTTCTATAGGTGTCATGTTTCAGCTCCTGCTATGACCAACACAATTCTGGGTCCTCAGCAGGTCAGGATGCTCAAGATTGCTGATTACTAGATAAGCTGTCTGACGATAAGGGAGTCTCCATATCCCATAGTGAGCCATTAAAACAAATTTTAGGAAAGAAAACTTTAGGTTACTGTCATACCCACGGTTCTCTGAGTAACATGAGTAAGATGTCTCACCAGACAACCCATCTTGCTAGGTGAAATGAGAAGAGGTGTTTATCTAGAGTGATGAGAGCAACCGGACGCTTGTGTGACGTGAACAACACGGTCACTGGCCAATTACGATTGCCATATATAATAGATAAGTGCTTCTGAGGAATCTGTGGTGGGGCATATCGCATAATGAGACACCTCAGTGATTTTGCTCAGAGAACCGGGGGATACGATCAGTAACCTAAAGTTTCCTTGCTGCTGATTGTTGACCAAGTTTTCCAACATTCTCTTCTCTCCAACAACACGTCTAATGATCTCTTACCTCTGGTCTGACAGGATCCTCTATTCCCACAATACAGATAGCTGTTAGGTCATTAAGGATGTTGTTCTCATCATCCCAGTTGGGCTCTGGATTACGGGGAAAGTCACGATACGCCACACAGATTGTTCTTAGACCATCACAGGCCATTGGCTCAATGACCTTCTTAACCATCTCATCTTTGTCTCGTGGACGGAAAGCTCGTGGTTCCCCAACTTCATTCAGAATTTGATTGCATCTGAGAAACACAACACAAAAAAGTTTCTGGCACTGTTTGATTGTAATTTATAAAACATGCCAGCCTCATTGCAGGATTTCAACTAAATATAGAATAAAAAGTGAAAATAAGATGAGATGAAAACATGAGATCCATTGATTTCTGTCCTTTTCTATACACAGTCACTGGTGACACTCTGATGAAGAACACAGCAGGAGCCAAAAACAAAAAAGGTAAAAACAAGCTTTGCTACTCTGTGTACAGAAAAGAACCGAAAATACTGGAACTTCAAAATCAACATAGAATGGACGTAGCAAAGATGTTCAAAATAATAAAAGTACAGAACTGAATGGGCATTGCCTGTGGAGCACAATGGAGCACTTTTTGAATTGTATAAACACCTTCAGTGAAACAGACCTGGGTAATGAGCTCCAAGCTGAAATCATCACCTGGAGGTGTGATTGTACATGTGTGTGCATGGTACCCATAGAGAACCAAACCCTCTTAAGCTACTGATCTCTCTCTTCAATCAGACCCATTAACTTCAATGCTCCACAGCTTTTTCCACCACAACATGTTTCATAAACTCCTGCATCATTGATCTGCTCTTCTTGCTTTGCAGAAGACCTTACTTTTGCGGATTTTACTGACTTCTCAGACTGCTCAGAATTTATATGAGAGGTTGGCAATAGCCTCAAGCATGAAGAATTTGAAGGTGTAACTTTGACTTAAGAAAGCCATGGGCAGGCCACCCTTCTTAGTGTTTTTTTTTAATCAGTGTCAAACAGCACATGACTTCTCAGGACTTTTAGGGGAAAAATAAGAAAGCATCTGTAGCATCTCTGGGACTAAATTAACACCTCATGGTACTTTAGTTATTTTATTGTCTTAATGATTTACATTATAGATTTTGAGCCAGTACTGATAGTCAATGTTGCTATTAATGTTATGGCCGATAACCAATATCAACAATACACACACACATATTGTATACATATATATGTATATACATATATATATACACACACACATTGGGCGGTATTACAGTATTACCGTACAGCTGGTGTTAAAAAATAGCAACAGTACATACCAATACCGTTATGAAAAAAAATACAGTGCAGATAGGAGACAAGGATTAAAAACATAAATAAAAAAGATAAATAAGTCATTTAATGTATAAAATAGATGTGTGGTTTAACTTTTTATTGTACCTAAATAGTTCAAAATGTTTTGTCCAAATTTTAGAAATGTTCCGTAAAGTTTATGTGAGTTTTGTCATCATGTGACAGCGTGGAGACATGCCGAGAGAGGCTGAGAGAAAAATGGAAGCTTGCACACCAACTGTCATCTAACAAGAACACAACACAACCTCTCGAGTTTGGGAGTATTTCAAGTTTGAAGCAAACTTAAAAGGAGGGTCAGTAAACGACCTTGAAGGATGCACTCCCCGTCAGCACAGAGGAGGAGCAGGCCGGAGCTGAAATAGCAGCCTTCTGTTTGGAGCCTGTTACTTTTAATCATGTCTGCCTCTTTCTGATGATGCTGTTTTCCTTTCCAGATATTTTCCCTTCATGCAAGTTCCTGGACTGTTGCCTTGACCCAGTTCCAATACTCGCACGTCCACTCTTGTGCCCCTCAATTGTGCGTTCATGTCCAGTGGTGCTAGTGTGTAGGCTATCCCCATTCTCAAGCTTTGACCTTGGCCCTGCCTCTTTTGCACCGTTGATTTGCACTTTGCTAACGACTGCATCAGTGCAGACTAATACCCACATCCATTCCTTCACAGTAACTTTGAGAGGAAGGCAGAGAGATGTCTCAATTTCCCTTTGGCTCACAATCGAGCTGTGCCCCCCCACCCCACTGCTACAACTAACACCATTAATACAAGTGAAGACTACCACAGAATGCCACTAACAGTAATTATAAAGAATTTTTTTTCTGCAAGTTCAACTTCTTGAAACCCAGCTAGACACATGCACTAAATTACAACCGTGGGGTTTGGCTGCTTTTATTTTGAAAAGTGACAGAGTAAACAAACCAGTCACGTGTCCCAGGTATAACAAGGCTTCATTAGTCACTCATCATGTGGCTTTCCGTGAAACAAAAGAGAGCCTTGAAAACTGAACTCACTTTTTGAGGATAATCTCAGATGCTCCTTTGCTGTACATGCGGAAACTCCCATCAGGAAGTTTGATGACGGTGCTCATGGACTTCCTGACTGAGTTGAAGGTATAGACTTTGTACAGCTTTTCCTCTGGGATCTGGTTCCGGATCGTCTGGTAATCCCTCTTCAGTTCCAGGACCAATCCCAGCAGACCACACTCTGTTTTGTTTCCAACCTGCTTCGGAAGACTTCCGTCCTTATCTGGAGGCTTAACAAATTCAAATTAGTCAATGTATTATTATTTGCTTTATTCAGAAAAAACAAACTGTACAAATATATAAACAAGATCTAAATGTTGGGAGTCTATTCATTAAAAGGGATTCTTGTTACATCAGTAGAATGTTCCCAGGGCAACACTTAAAATAGCTGCTAGTGATAATTAAGCAGCAAGCAGGTGAAAGGGTTACTGAGTGGGAGGCCAAGAGATGAGACAGACAATCAAATTTGGATGTCTTTATTTCAGGCGAGCAGCTCATCCCTCTGCTATCTGTGATTACATGTTTGGAACTGTGTAAATTTCTGGTTCAATAAACATTTAAGCTGATTCTAACATTTGGAAGGCAGCAGGTGTTGTAACTTTTACATGTGACAAATTTGCTGATAGAACTTATATAGTAAGAAGTTTAGATGAACAGAATGTACTCCTTAACTCAGACAAAATCAGTTGTTTGTTTCGACAATAAAGAGATAGTTGGAGATTTTTTTCAGCCGTTTGTATCAAAGGGTGTGATCCAGAATCTGCCTAAATCTGCATGTGGCTGGTCAGGAGCTACAGTACATGTGCGATGTTGAGTGCTTACTGTATGTACAAGCGTGTGAGTGTGGTCAGCTTGTGGAAGGCTCAGCGTTGCTATGGTAGCACTGGGCAAAGAGATGAGATGAGAACTAGGAAAAGAGAGGATGGGCTTTCTACCACTTGGGGATTCTTACTCACTGGCTCACTCTTTCAAAATTCTCACTCATCTCACTTAACACATGTCTTCTATTTTTTATTGATTCATTTTTTCCAAATTTATGCTTCCTCAAGGCTTATTTATCAGTATATCTTGAGCTTCACTACATTGAGGAACTCTTAAGTCAAACACTACATGCAAGCAATAGAACATACAGAAAAGGCACAAGCCAGTGTGAGGAAAAATCTGAATTACAGTTGAACTCACATACACTTGCATTAGTGACACTGATGCTCATCCATCTGGACAAATAATACACACTAATGAGAATGCTGTCTTTGCTGTTATTTCTATGACATGCTCCTTCACACAATCACACATTTTCAAGCTGATTTAGATTTTACTTCCATCACATTTCTCCCTAAACAGATAAAATGTAAAACAGGAACATAAAGATGGCCTGATTGTCAGTAAACTCCGTTTCTTAAAAATTCATATTTGTCACTAAATTAATTCTTCTGAGTATTTATTCTTGATTAGATTTAAATAGACAGTCTGGCATCTTGACTCTTTTCCCCCCACGTTTTTGCTCTTGACTTTGAATGTCTGTTTTAGAATCTATATTATATAACAACATTTGACGAACATCTATGAAAACAAATGAAAACTGGCTCAGACTCAGGTCTAACAAACAAAGAGCAGAGCTGAGAGGTTAGAAAGTCAAGTGAAATTGCATTAATCATCAAAAACCCAATAGCTTTGCTTTGCCAAGTAATTGGACATATCTGGTTATTATCCAACTGTTCAGGCAAGATAACAAATATTTTGTACTGAGTGAGTCTTAAATAACAGAATTAATGCATTTTCCTAATGACCAGTGATTACATCAGGAAGACACTCCATGTCACTGGCTAATGACAGGATGGGATAAACAACCTCATTTGCATTGTCTAGTGGTGATGAGGAGTATAGCCAACTAGCCAGAGAGCAGCATCAAGTTAAATGGTATCACCGGTTGTCTTGCAGCTTTAAATGATCATTCTGGAAATATATTTGTGGTGTACAGTACAATGGTAATCACCCTTGGAGGAAAAACATTAGAATTCCATTTTAATTCAGGGAAAGAGTTGATTTGAAAACACATTTAATAAAGGCTGTTTTCTGGAGAGTCTGCAAATCGAATTAGAGGTCTTTAATGTTTATTGATAAACATATCAGCCATCTAAAATCATTGCTGGCATGTACAACTGCTGGCGCAGTGTGCATAGTTGACAGAGAATTAAGAATCTGATAACTGCAACATAACAGAGCAGGAAAGAGATCTGTAAATAAAGGTAATAAACAGGAAGTAACAAACACTTGTTTTTCTCTTAAAAATTCCACTGAGGTTTATTTTCATGTTGGGTTTTTACGAACAAAGATGGATTTCTGGCACGTATTGCTTAATGTTGGCATGGCTGGGTTACATCTTGGCCTGGATGTGGCTTTGAACCAGCTGCCCTCTCCCTGGTCCTTGGGTGTTCCTGCAGGCAAGGACATATGCCAGAGGGAGCGCTGGCAACTTTACTTCCTATCTCACTTGGGGCTCTTCTTAATCCACACCTCTTGTTCCTTCTTTCTCTCTAGTCATGGACTTCCTTCCGCCCCAGACATGTCAATTCTACCCTTTTCTATCTTACATTCCCCTCTCTTTCCTTTTCTTCATTTTTGTTTTGTATGACTATTCTTCAGTATCAATCGTCCTTATGCTTCATATTTCCATGATGCTCCCCATATTTGGCAGTTTTCTCTCATCTTGCTCCCTGACTGAAGCAAAGTGGGGTATATTCTAGGTCTCCTCATGACCATACAGCCAATCAGGCTACAGCCTAGGAGGCATGCTGGAGGGCAGTGATGCAGCACTAGTGACTCATAAGAGCACTTGCCACATGACTGTATTTTATAATATCTTGTTTTCTATTTACCTCAATCTATTTTCTTATTGACATTAACCCTGGCTTTACTTCCCACTGCCTCTTTGCAAGAAATTCCCTCTATCTCTTTCGGCTTTGATAATAAAGTAATTTCACATCAATCGGTTATGTTTAGGATTAATCAAAAAACCCCAAAACAATAAATAACTTCAAATTTGAACTAAATAGAATGTTGAAAACATTGAGCATTATATCTTTTGTACTTTTGTTCTGTGCAATCCTTCCATTATTTGAAATGTTTTCTAAACACAGCGTTTGTTTTTACCTTGTTTTTTCTGACGAGGTTTGGCCAACGCTGTAGCCTTCCTCAGAGCACTGCCGATGTTGAACATCGGCAGTGCTCTGAGTCAGCGTTAGCCAGAACTTGCAAAAAGGGTAAAAAAAAAAATTCTACTAAGGTGTGTTTAGAAAAGAATTAAAACAGTTGAGCATTATAGCACTTTTTTCATTAAAGGTGTGGGACACTCATTTAAAGAGACAATCGGTAGTTTTTACCTTTAGTCTCTGGAGAAATCCATCAAAACATTGAAAATGAATAAAATGATGTCCAGTTGTTGAAAAATATTGGCAGCTTCTTATCATATAACCATAAAAATCAGGTCTAAAGTACATAAAGGTGCAAGTCTAGCCTCTTTGGGAAGCGCCATGTTTCCTTCTGGCCAGCTTGGTGTCCTGCGCCTGTCGATGGCGTCACACCAGATCACTGGCTGAACATACAACATTCAGAATAACGTTACCTCGTTCAAAAACATTTAGGCAGTAAGAAACCAAATTTATTAGCAATAACTGCTACACTCTTTCCAAAACATACATAAAAGAACTGATTTGAAAAAGATAACACAATATATTTATATAATATATTTATGATGATGTCATCGGCAGGCGCAAGCCCCCAAGCAGATCCGGAAAGTACAGCGCCTGAAAACTACAATTGGCATTGCATTATCTTATGGAATTACCTGAAGAACCATCAAAGTCTGAGGAGTCACGCCAAGGTTGCATTCTTTCTGCTCCACAGGTAACATTCACTGTAATGTTTTTTTAACTAGCGACAGTCAGGAAGATGTGGTGTAAAACTACCCTGAAATGTATGTATGTATGTACTGTCCTCTAGTGGCTGGAAACTACATTTACATTTACAATGGTCTCTACTATAAATGAATGCCATGTACGTGTATTCAGGGAAAAAAGATCAGGAGCACTTGTTTCAGTAACAAGCAGAATGCCACATGAAAGGAGAGTTTAACACGGTAGGATTTAGTCTTATTTCCTGATATTTGGACATCTTGCCTGGGATTAGATAACAGCAACACGACTCTACCACTGACTCCGTCAGTTCTTTTGACATTGATGTTTTATCTCAACAAATAACGCAAGCCAAGAAGTCCTCTGCGGTGTGGTAGAGTTGCTAATACTAACAATACTAACAACAACCAAGACGTTCTCTGCCGTTTCCTGGACGCTAAACCAACAACAGCCTTTCCCTCACGAGTCAAGATGGGTGAGTCCACGAACATTAAGTGACAGGAAGACATAGATCTATTGTGTCTTTCAAATCCTAGAGGTTCACCATCTATTTTCTATCAGAAGCTAATGCAGGATACGTATGAGACTGTTTTCATGTTCAGCCTGCATGTTAAACTCAGAGTCACAGATCATTTTGTAAAAGAAAAAGTGGTTTTTCAGTGAACCTGTTTTTTAAGGACAGAAAAGGCTGTCCTACTTGTTTCTAATTTCCTAACAAACTTACACTTGTACTCTTGAAGTACATTGTGAGCTTAAATTCATAATCAATAATTAAAAAATGTTTTTTCAGTGTTCCACACCTTTAAGTGTAAGTCACACTAAGCAGACTTTAGGTTACTCCCCCTAAAAAAAACTAAATGATAAATGACCCGCACTTGTATAGCACCTCTCAGAGTAAGGACTCCAAAGCGCTTTACACTACAGTGTGTTGTTCATCCATTCACACACACTTTCACACACTGATGATGATGATGAGGTACGATGTAGCCACAGCTGCCCTGGGGCGCACTGACGGAGGCAAGGCTGCTGAGCACAGGCGCCACCGGTCCCTCCGACCACCACCAGTGGGCAACATGGGTTAAGTGTCTTGCCCAAGGACACAACAGCAGAATTCTCTGTCCGGAGCCAGGATTGAACCTGCAACATTCTGATTACTGGATAACCCGCTCAACCTGTTGAGCTACTGCTGCCTCCTTCATGATTTCTTGACATATTTTTGTTTGTATTTTATAAAAATGGCCAAAATAAATAATGCAGGACACAAAGTCAAAAGTTGATGCTACAGTTTAATAACCTATTTTATCATAAAAACGTGG